GAGTTTTTGGGACGTATCGTGGGCGACGACACGTTATCAGTTTCCGATACCGATGTTCAAACCGTCCAAGAATGGCCTACTCCAAAGAATGTGAAAGAGCTGCAACAATTCTTGGGATTAACCAACTACCATAGGGAATTCATTAGCAATTTCGCTGATATTGCAGCACCATTGTATCGTCTTACCTGTAAGGACAGTGACTTCAACTGGGGAGAGCAACAGCAGCGAGCTTTTGAACAACTCAAAGCCGCATTAACGCAACCCCCGGTACTCGCATTACCAAACGGAGAAGATGAATTCATCTTAGACGTTGATGCATCAGATCAAGCTCTTGGTGGAGAACTCCTCCAAGTCCAGGATGAGATGTGTATAAGAGACAGCTGTTAACTTTCGTTTAGGTTCAAACGAGTATAATACATTTTTCTATGTAGCTCCTATAAATGATGAGATGTTATTGGGTGGGGATTTCCTCCATCCCAACAAAGCTGTAATTGACTTCGGGAAGCTACTATTTCCGAGTGAGGACTGACCACAATAGCCTAACTTGGTTACTCAACTTTAAGCAGCCACAAGGACAGTTAGCTAGGTGGATTGAAGAGCTCAGCCAGTACAATATGATCATCCAACATCGAAAGGGCAAACTGCATGCTAACGCCGACGCTCTCTCTCGTTTGGGGGAAATGCATGACCCTGGGGCGGGCGCCACCCCACTTATAGATCTACCTTGTGGGGGATGTTCGTATTGTAGACGAGCACATGAGAGGTGGGCTACTTTCAGGGAAGTAGTGGATGATGTAGTGCCTATCGCTCATGTGGGTCAGATCAGGTCAGCCAAGGGGTCTGATGATATTCCATGGGATCCCGGGGGCCAGGTGATTATTGAAATAATTAGGCCGGACACCCAGGGTGGAAATAATACAATTTCTATCTTACAGGATAACAGATCCAGAGTATATGCTGTACAACCAGATGCTAAAGCTTCTTGCTGGGGCTACTCTTTGGATGAAATAAAACAGGGTCAGAAAAACGATCCTGACCTTGCACCCATCCTAGACTGGTTGAAGAACGGCGAACCATTAGAAAAGACGCTCTTTATTTCCAGCGCTTCAACCAAATTTCTTTGGTTGAACAAAGACCGTCTACAATTAACCGATGAAGGAATCCTGTTTTATACAGCAGAAGAACGCTACTGGGCGCCTCTTAGTACTACCCAGGGAGTGGCAGATGGAAGCCATACGGCTACATCATGACCTACCATCAGCAGGGCACCAGGGAATAGCGAGAACAAAATTCAGATTGAAGGAGAAGTTCTGCTGGCACGGTATGGGTAAGGATGTGGAAAGATATGTGTTAACTTGTGAAATCTGTAATCGTAGCAAGAAATCCACTCGTAAGGGTAAATATCCGATGACCGAGTTTCATGCTGGGATACCGATGGAACGGGTGCACATAGATTTCCTGGGCCCCCTACCCAAAACTGAACAGGGCAATATATACATATTGATGATGGTTGATCAATTTACGAAATGGGTTGAGATCAGTCCCGTTCCCTCCCAAACCGCCGAGGTGACTGCGAGGGCACTGGTGGGGGATTTCTTCTCCCGCTTTGGGGTTCCTTTCCAGTTACACTCTGATCAGGGGAGAAACTTTGAAAGTGAATTGTTTAACTCTTTATGTCAAGTCTTACAGATCCACAAGACCCGTACTACCAGCTACCGGCCGTCAGCCAACGGTCAAGTAGAGCAGTTTAATCGTACATTGATGGAAGCGGTAAGATGTTATGTCGGCAAGAGACAGAGAGACTGGGATGTCCATCTTCCACAACTTGCTGGTGCATTACGCGCCACAATAAACAGATCTACAGGGTTTACTCCGAACATGCTGATGCTAGGCCNNNGGGAAATTAATCTTCCCGCTGATTTGATGTTTGCCCAGTGCCAGTCGGGGGAAGCTCAGGAAGTTGGGGTTTACATCTCAGAATTGGTTCGTTCCATTCGGGACGCCCACGATACTGCCAGGGAGACTCTCAAGGAGACTCAGAAGCGCATGAAGAAGAATTACGATCTGCGTGTTCTGAAGCGGCCTTATGAACGTGGGGATAGGGTGTATATACTCGATAACAGCACCCCCAAAGGCAAATGCAAAAAACTTTGTCCTCCGTGGAAGGGTCCGGTAGTCATAATAGACGTCATAACTCCATGTTTATTCAGGGTACAGTTGAGGAACAAAGTGATGATCCTCAATCATGATAAGTTGAAGCTGTGCCTTGATAGGCAGCTTCCCAAATGGTTGATTAACTATGTTTTACCACCTTCCTCTTTACCTATAGATAATGCGGATGATGCTCCAGGAACGCTGTATTGCAGTTGTCACAAACCCTGGGCAGGCGCCTTTATGATTCAGTGTGATTATTGTGATGTCTGGTATCATGGCTCATGTGTAAACATCTCGCCATCGGATGCTCTAGACATTGATTTGTATAAGTGTGCCCAGTGTAGAAACCCTGGCCAGTTGACTATTCACTAACGTGTAATGTTAATAATTAGTTCAATTTCCCATGTCCATTTCTAACCACATGTATTGTATTTCCTTACTCTCGCAGAAATGGACAAGCAAGATCAGCTGCCTTCCGCTGATGAGATGGATGTCCAACTTAGTGTGGCTGAGGAGAATAACCTCCTCGCCGATTCACCTCACCCGCCAACACTGGAGTCACTCCCGCCCGCAGAGCCGTTGCCGCCAGCAGAGTCGCCGTCAACGGAGCCTGAGGCGGGCATTCATCCAGTGGAGCCCACTCCATCCTCAGCCAAACCATCCCAACCCGGAGCGGGAAAACGCCCATCACTGCCTCCGGAGAATGCTTGCGTTTGGCCGGGGTGTACTATTAAGAGGGTTGTCAATATGAGGGTGCATGTTATGGCCAAACATGTCCCACAAAATCTGAAACCTCTGGGTCGCAGTTCTCGACGCCAAGCCCAACGGCAGCTCGACGTTTTAAGACAACTGGCTGTAGCGTGTATAGGTGAAGGAGCCACCTTACACCTGTCTCTTATACACATCTAGATGTGTATAAGAGACAGTAATGTAACAGTATGTTCATTGGTGTGATTTCATAAAACCTACACAGCCAGGTTAGTATGTTTTCTAAGCCAGTAAATCGTTTCCTTATTGAGGTTTTTGAAACTTTCATATCCTTTGAAGAACCAAAAGAATTAATGGAAAGAGGGTTCGTCAGGAGGAGCCGAGAAAAGAGTTAAAGCCCAAGAGAAGGGCGCTTCCACAATCACGTGGGACGCCACATTCTTCCCAGGGTTCAGCGGCGAAGGCGTATGACGCCCATTTTCACCTGGACCGTTTGCGTCAGGGGCTGAGGGTGTCTTCTTGGGCCACTCTTGGCGACCTGGAGCGGGCGGAGCCAGCAAGGGGCAACGTCCTTCCCGTGTCTGTGGTTGGGGGTGTTACAGTTTACTGTGACCCACATACCTACCCTACGGCACGGGAAGTGCATTTCATCACTAGGGACCTACACCTGGAAGTTGCCGTAGGTATTCATCCGAAACATGACTTGACATCTGACCAATTTGATCGGCTTTACTCCCTATCAAGAATGAGGGAGATGAGGATCCTAGGGGAAATTGGCCTTGATCATACCCGGCCCCCCTCGGATTGGTATCGCCAGGAAAACCTCTTCCGAAGAGTATTGAACCGGTGCTATGCCCATCACCAGCACCGGGTAGTGTGTTTGCACCTACGTGGTATGGCCGGTGATCCCACGGCAGAGGAGTGTTACTCTCGGGCTTTGGATATTTTACGGCTGTCCCGCGTCCCTCGGGAGCAACGCTTGCTGCTGCACAATTACACCTCCACCGTTGCCATTGCCGATGCCTTCCGTCATCATTTTCCCGCCACGCTTTTCAGTTTTTCGTTGGCCGTGAGTGGGTTCAACAACCAACAATGCCAGGCATGCAGGCACATCGAAGCCGTAGATGACAGGCGGTTGCTACTGGAATCCGATGGACCACACTTCGCACCAGCGGGACATCGAGTTGGTTCCCCCCATCTCCTATGGGCAACAGCGGCAGCAGTTGGGGAGGTGCTCAGCCGTGAACCCCGTCAGATCCTGGATCTGACATGGAAGAACGGACGGGACCTCTTCCAAAAAATGCAGCATGCTATAAAGAAGATTTTATGTTTTTTTATATATTCTGTTCTGGAAATTAATTTACTTTATATTTTTCAGACCCGGATGATTCAGCATAGTGAACATCCGAGAGAACAGCTTTTTGCATTATTCCCGTTGAAGACATCAGTGTACGTTCACCGGGTTTCCTGTACAATCTGTGACTCAGCGAGCCCATACGTTTTCCAACTGGTTATCAACGGGATGATGTCAACTCTTTTCAAATAAGGGAGGAGTGTAGTGACGGCCGCCGTCTATTCGAGAGACCGATCAACGGTAACGACATCTAACCCCGGCATCTGTGTATTTGCATATCCTGCCCTCAGGTGTGCAGAGGAGGGATCGCCGAGATCTTGGGGAATTGTCGTCACTCGTACACTGGACTTAATGCAAGACGCATCAGCTAACGCTATAGAATTGGTTTATGTGTATCTGGTGTCCGGGTCTACACAGGAGTACTACCGTACTGCATATTGGAGTGCTGCTGTGACTGATTTATAATTGGAGTATTGTCGCCCTAGGAATACATCCTATTGGATAAAGGTAAGCTCCACTCGGTACCTTTTATATCACAGTATATATATATTTATAGGCGATAAATACTACAGTACTATTTTCAGAACGACAGGGCCCAGTTTGAAAATAAGCCCGATCGTCCTAAAAATGTCCCTGATAGTCTTACAATGGCCTGATTGTCCTGTGCTGAACTCCGTGGCCCCGATCGTCAGTAGGCCTAGGCAAAATCTTTTCAGCTCATGCCAGGCATGGCTGTCGTTTGTATTGATGTTTGATACCGAAATAAATAAACAAAAAGAAATACCTGTACAATTAATAAATTTGGAACGCAATAATAAATCAGAAATCCAATTCCATGCATGTACTATGATCGAATACAGATCATTTCGGTCGCGCTTCATTTCTGTCGCGGTTTGTTTTCAACAAATATATGGAGCGCCAATGGAGTTTCGAAACGCTAAATTTAATATAACTAGGCCTAATTATCATTGCAAGTTCGTCAATCGGTTTATCATACTTTTTTTATTTATGTTTTGTTGTATTTCTGATAAGTAACAACAGGCTACTTAAAAGCATATAAAATTAATACTATTATTACTAAACTATCAATTACTGTAATATTATCGGACGGTTTTTATTTTCGTTTTGTTATGAATCTTACGCTTTCTACTACATAACAAATACAGCAAATAAAATAAATACTAAAATGTGATATGATGTTATATATTATTATTATTATATTATTATTATTTTTATTTATTTACATTGTATCAGGAAAAACCAGCCAATCTGTCATTTAAATTACTGTAGCATTAGTTTATTAACAATTATTTTTATTAGTATTAAAGTTTGTTATTGTTACTATATTACTGTATAACTTGGTGGGTGCTATTTTTTTAAATTTTTTTTTACAGAAACAACGCAGATGTTACGAAGTTGACCGAGTTTGAGATACGTTTTTTTGTTTCTTGCTATATATATTGATATAATTTTTATTAATGCTTGAATCAAATAAAATTCTATGGAATAAGTATAGTCAATAGATTTAGTTTCGCGTAGGTTTTTTTTTTCTTGTCCGTTACGTTTCCATTTACCATAAATGTTCTGATCATGTTATAATAATATTGTAAAGGAAATATGTATTTTCATATTTATATTTTCCATATAAAATTATCAATACATTTGATAATTGCATGCGGTACATTTTAAAAGCCTTTTCATGCTTCTGTTATATTCATAAGCCCCAGAAAATCACTCGACTTGCTAGGCCTATTTCTTTAGTTGAACTGGAGTATAATTGTGGAAAGAAAAGTTTCCACATTTATTGCCATGGTACTCTTAAGGCGAAGATGACACAAGGTTTGTGATTTCTTTTTTGTTTTATTTCCATTTTTGTTACATAATTGCAAAGACAGAAGTAGGTCAGATACTAAAATAGATGACTAGCTATTTCTAGGTACAAACATGTAGGC